ACCATGAGAATTCATAATTTGAAGTGCATAACTAACAAAAGTAAATTATAATAGTTGCCAATAAAAGATAATAGTAATCCAGTCTACTGGAGTTTAACAACCTACTGATATTTAATTATAGCAATGATAACTGAAAAAGTAATATTAGATTAAACTTCCACAGCTGATGGGCATACATAAATACATATCATTATAATATCTATATGGCTATATGACATGAATTTAATTATAAATTTAAACTTAGATACTCTAATGATTGTTTCCCATGATTAGTAATAAGTCATTATTTTTTAAAACCCGTTTTAATGATACGTAAAAACGAATAGGTAGGTACAACGTTTCATAAAATGTTCTAGTTTAACGTTAATATTTCGAATAATTGGTTAGGTTTTTATTTCACTGTGGTTGAATATTTCCTGGAGTATTTGATTTCCGAAGTACTGCAATTATATAAATTAGAAACTGAACGTAATAGCTGTTCATAAAATTAACATCTATAAGATAACCTAGAATTATTTTTTATCGTAATAACTGATACGAATCTGAGAATCGAACATTCAGAGAATTGGACCAAATAGCTAGGTACCATAAAATAACATATTATACATTTATAACGAACGCGAGTGAATATAAACACATATATATATAATATATATATACTATTATAATATAATAACAATAATAATAATTATGTCATCTGAGAAGAGTACGGCATAAGGTTGGTAGGTACACTAGGGAAATCCCTAAAAAGAGAATCCGATCGTGCGATTTACGATCTGTAAATGCGTTTAATACTAACATATTTGTTTTGAACTTGGACATAAAATTGTTAGTATGGATTACGTAAACTAGAGATATTATAATAACCATAAAATCGCGTTTATTCCGTGATGTAATTTTCATATTATTACCTAATAAAACGATCTACCACTTATTAACCTCAAAGGTTATATCTACACATAACTTATATTCACCTGGTAAATTATAAACAACACATTAAAAAAAAAAATTATTTTATAACACCAGTCTTAAACATAGTTCTAGAATATGAATGCATGATTTCTTAAAAGTTAAATTAGATTCAACTGAAACTAAAACAACCCCACATTCACCAGATGGAGCTGGGATAAAAAGTAAAATATGGGTATCTGTTTGTGATTCTGGTTGGTTCATCATCATAATTTATACTACCTAGCGTAGAACTGGTTGGAAAGCTCAAAGCACAAGAGTAAAACAAGCCATGTCTTACCTAAAGGTATTTTACTGAATGAAATATAAATATTAATGACGTTATATAGGTATAGGTACCTAATCACTTCATAGATTTGATTGTTTTTGGTTAAAAATATGGTTTTAATTTGTGCCTTTTGTTCTTTCTCAAAATTATTAGGTACACCTTGTACTGTATACGTGTGCAGTGTACGCATTATTTTCTATACAGTACCAGATTGGGTAGTCTCAGCCCTTCGAGAAATATTTTTCTACCGTCTCATAATTTGTTATACATAGTGGCCCATATTGGTCAGATTTTGATACTAATAAATCATTTTGACCTTATCACATTTGTTGAGTGTTGACAGTATACTATTATAAATCTGTCATATACATCGTAATGCGTCATTGCTGCCCTTATTTCCTCGAATACTCGACTGGCCTATACGGCCCTGTTTCTATACAATTAAACTATTGTGTAAATTAATAAAACGAGTATTTATTTGAATACTTGTATAGACAACATTTGGATAACCTACATATATACCTATAGATGAACTATATATGGTATAATTTCATACTTGTATATAATGAATCAATCTAATTTATAATTCATCCTAAATTTATTTTATAAATTATTTAAAAAAATTAAGGTAGTTGCTGTGCAGTTCAGTATTAAGGTGTTGATAGTGTACGCCTCAATTTCATATGTAATTTTCATACATATTTTACATGACGTGCTTGAATTTTGGAAGGATTTCCGAACATATTTCAAAACTAAAGTAGATAGTTTACGGCACCGGTAAGTTGAATTTCCGCAATAAAAAAAATTCGAACATATAAGTTTTATGTAGGAATGGGATGGAAAATCTTGTATGAAGAGCCGATTATGATACACAGATTTAAAGGAGGAAGTTCGTAATGTGACATTTAAAACTGGGCTTGATAGTTCATATAAATTGACATAATTAAACGATGGCAATACAAAATTTGGAAAATTTTTAATTTTATCGAACTTAAGTATTGGTGACATCAGTTGCTGGTCATCTCCTTACATCATTTGTATGTTTTTGAATTTTGTGCTGGAAGGATTTCCAAGCGAATTTTAAAACTAAAGTAGATAGTTTACGTCACGGGTAAGGTATACATACACATTAAATCTCAACATAGGTATATATTAATTTTGACTAGGTATATTCCTCATATTTATTAAAATTAAATTTACACAAGACTGTCAAAAGTACCTAGGTAGGTTTCCACCAGAATTTTCCTTGATTTTCGAACATCAGGAAGACAAGAACTTATGAAGGATACACCACTCTTCCGTTATTGGACAATAATAGGTCAATATATGTTTATCAATTGAGAAGGTATTAAAAAATTACATTAAATCGGGAAAAATATAAAGTCAAATTTGTAATTTTACTCCTTACGCCAATAGTCCAGTTTTTCCAATTTTTCATCCCCAGCTTTAAAATTAATCTGAATAAAAAAAAAAATTGTTGTGGCCCTCTCATAAATAAGTATACTTATAGTATACCTTAAGGTACCTATATAAAAACGATTTTTCAACAATTACGAATAATTTTATAAAAAACGAACGGTGCTATATAACTATTGTATTGATTTAATATGATAGTTGAACATTGACCGACAAAGCATTACGTATCTACTAATCTATATAGGTACAATCCTGGTTTTAAATAAATAGTATTGTTGTGTAACGTAATTTTATTTTGTTTTACCTTGTATCAACAACTTCAAATTGGTGTTCACTGTACATAGGTACACTTGCGTTACATTACACAATGAGATACGAATAATTTAGTTTTTTTTAATATTGTACGGCATAATATACCATATAAAACCGTCGATCGGTTACCGCCACCTTACCGATTTAGGAAATGTCCGCAGAAATCGTAAACAGAACTGTGGAGTTATTTTATAACGTGGAATTTAGACGATCCTGCAAAGTCAACAAATATAAAAAACCAAAATACGAATCACTTTACACAGATGTATATAGAACGACCTGCAGTGAATCAGCACTGCGTACACACATAGTATACTATACCTATATACATACACATATGTGTCATATACACCGTTCACAGTATTATTATATTTATTTATATATTACGATACAATAATATATACCGTATAGACGAGCACGGAATAAAACATTATATATCGGAATCGGATAAAACCAATTTCGTCCGCGGGCCGATGATTTCCAAAATCGTTTCCGGTGTCAGTTCGAATTTGAATAATTCATCTCGGGATAGCCCGCTGAAAGAGGGCCGACCTTTTCTCCCCTACCACCACAGTATGTCGTTGTAATATATATCATATATTATGTACACGTGGGAGTTTTTTTTTCTCTCGCACCTTTCAAGTCATCGGCGGTGGCGGTCGCTAAGCTAAGCATTATGCACTATATGAGTGTATATTATTATATCCACCTCACATTGCTCGCATATATTTAAATTATATAATTTAATACGGATATGATGTGTTAGTTAACATTGTATGTACTGCAGTAGCAGACAACTTCGACTCTACGACTATTTCCTATCAAAAAATTATAGAAAAATGACGAATACTAAAAATAAAATGTTTTGGTATTATATAAAAAAAAATTAAAGAAGAATCAGATTGATTTTTGCAAATACCTAATTCCTTTGTGGTATAAAATGTTTAAATCATACATTTAAAGTTTAATATAAAATACATATATTTATTCAACAAATTTATGAATTACAAAATATAGATAATCATAATTTATTGTGACAATACTGCAAAGGTGGGCATTAACTAGTTGAAAAGTTAGAGTTCAGTTAAAAAGTTAATTTTTTTTTAAATTTTTAACTTAACTAGTTAGTTTATTTTCTAATCATCTTATGAACTTAAATAGTTTAATTTACAATTGAAATAACTTAGCTTTTCTCAGTTGATTTAAAAAAATCCATTAAGTTAAAACATTTTGAAATTGTTCGTTTATACTTAAATATTACGAATTTCGAACGCTCATAAAAATTTAATTTGACTTTCTTATAGACATTTTTTTTTGCCACGTCGTGGTCGTTTCCGTTTCCTCTAGTAATACTCGTTTTTACCTACAGCTTTTTCCACAGCGGTTATATTTATCAAACTGATAAAAGTATAGTCACATGGTTTATTTATTGACTACCAGCTAGACTACCTACCAGCTATTATTAATTTGTCAACAGGAATATTAAATTGATTTTTGACTTGCTGTCATGCTTAAAACTTTAAACTTTAATTGTACATCTCCGTTATAGTTGTACTTTTAATTTTAAGTTGTTAGTGTTTAAAGCATCTTAGCATTTTCACTAGTTGGGTATTTTTAAGCTCTGGTTGTTTGGGTGTTTAACTTGTTGGTGGTAGTTCTCTGTTTCTGCATTTCTGAATAATCAATTATATTGTATTCATAATGGATTAATTCATTAAGTTCTTAAAAAATAATAATATCATTGCGGTTCTATCAAATGAAGTTTCTAATACAAATGAAAAGACCTCGATTCTTAGAGCCAATATTAATAATGTTAATGAAGTCACCTTACTGTGCTGGCATGGCATACCCAATATTTATGCAACATGACTCTGAAAAAAAAAATGCTTTATACATTAATATTAATCAAATAATGAGAACTATTTTTACTTACCTTGATGGATTGTCAAGCTGAGTCCATAGGCTCAACTAGGGGGGGGGGCTAGAGGGGGCTAAGTCCCCCCCAGTTTGCCAAATAGCCCCCCCAGTTTTTTTCATGTGTCTTCAATTTAAACGTACAAGAAAACAGCCAAATAGATATGAGAACTTTGTGGTGTTAGAGAAAACTGGAGAAGAAAATGAAGGAGAGTGTAACATCGGAACAGAAGAAGAGTACTGGCGAAGAGTGGCTTACTACAGAATTATCGACACATTAATTATTAATCTTAAAAGCAGATTTTCAACCGAAAGCTTATTATTAGCCACTTCAATAGATAGTTTTCTCAAAATGGATTTAAAAAACAGTGAATATTTTATAAATCAATATCAGGAAAATTGTGAAAACTTAAAAATATTTTTTTAATACATACAAATTCATATTAATTGAACATTTTATGGTTTTTAGTCAATTTTAAATGTCAAACAAGATGATTTAAAGGCGGAAATGCTCGTTGCTAAAAATTGTGCATTTAATTTAAATAATAATTTTGAATTAGACACCATCAAAGAAATTGTGAAGAAGAATACATTTCCAAACATATACAAGCTGTTTCAAGTAGCTCTAACCATACAGATAACGAATCGAACGATCCTTCTCATGTATGAGATGCGTAAAAAATTGGTTGAGAACATCAATGGAGCAAGATAGATTTTCAAATTTAGCCATTTTAAATATTGAGAGAGATATGTCCAATAATATCAATAATTATGACATACTGGAAAAATATAATAAAATAAAAAACCGACGAATGTAGAATGCTAATATAAGAATTATTATGATAATTATTTGTATTTATTTATTGATTATAACTAAATGGGTAATATAATATAACATTTCTAACGGAAGCAAAGAAATTTGTTCGGGACTATAGCCCCCCCAGAATTTTTACCTAAGTTGCGCCTATGAAGCTGACCAACACGAATCCAATTAGTTTTCGAAAATTCTTGGTAAAGCATTATGAAATTCTCAACTTCATTAACATTATTAATTTGGCTCTAAGAAAATAACACAAACAACTAAAATATCGTTGCCATGTACGTGAATGTTTCAAAAATCTACAATTCATATCTGTGTCACATAGTTACCACTTGTCAATATTTATTTCTTGTGTTCATTACGGATAAATTTCATTCCTATACGTATTTCTGTATAATCTTCTCCGTTAATTGTGCCTATATAATATTTTCAAATAAATATGTCATATCGATGTGTATCTATGCCTAACATGGCTGCGATGTGTGAAAATTCCTCAGCCAAATTGACAGATATTGGATGGCGATCAACGCCAAATCTCAAGTTTAACCGTACCAATGATATACGAAGACCGGAACCGTCGAAAAATTGTGATTCCGAGGGTTTTCTGGACGGCAGGTTCTGTGTATCTGAGCCGAACATTCCCATACATCCAAAATTAGCTGGCGAGACAGCTGCAGATATTGGGTGGCGATCAACGCCAAATCTAAAGTTTCAGAAGGTCACCAGCGATGTACGGAAACCGGAATCGTCGAAAAATTTTGATTCCAAAGGTTTTCTGGATAGCAGGCTCTGTGTATCTGAGCCAAACATCCGCATACATCCAAAATTAGCTGGCGAGACAGCTGCAGATATTGGGTGGCGATCAACGCCAAATCTAAAGTTTCAGCAGGTCACCAGCGATGTACGGAAACCGGAAAGCCCAAGACACACACGTCCTCGTCGTTCATTTTGGCGGCAGACAAAGAATTTTGTCAGGCGGTTCCTTTGTTGTTGTGGTTCTGTTGACAAGATAGACCAGTAATATGTATATTATAGAAATTAAAAGGTTTTTAAACATCCCCTTCTCTCCCACCGTTATCTCACTTTTGTGTTCGCTGGTACTGTTCTGAAACCGTTTATCATGTCCTCCATTGTCATTTGTACCAAGTTAGTGTAGGTTTGCCTCACGTATTTCATGTACTGTACGTCTGTACCATCGTCGGCTCTTCGCCACCTGTTATGTTCTGTATTAATATTATTATGTTACTCATATTAAACGTATTATTATAAAGTATGTACTATGTATTAATACCTATCTATTATATCTACCTCATTCGCTTTGCATAAATATATGTAATAATCCTATATGGTCACGCAGGTGGATATTGTATTGTCATGGATGTCATGGATTTTCATGATAGTAAAAAAATTAAAAATTATCTATACTAGAGTGGTTGACAAATGATTTACTTCACCTTCCGTTTAACCACCCAAAAATCGAGCCATGTACGGGTGCGCATAATATTATATGAGCGATATATTATAAGTCCACGCCTCTCCGTTTCGACTAGTTACGAATTATATTATAGTATTTACCTATTCGCAAACAGCTCGGTGTTATATGCCACCCCACACATAGAGTCGGTATATTATACTGTAATACTATATAGGTGATCCGAGTTCTAATGTTGGACTCGATGGCGTATAATTGTACACCCCAATTTTTTGTATACAATAATATTTATTAAAATTAATATACATATCATCAGCCTAATACGCAATATTGTCCTAACTCCAAAAATGTGATTTTGGAATTAATTGTGATTAAAATTAAGGAAAAAACTGCATTGTATGATAAAGTTGTAACTGATAAATTGTAACATTTTATCCTCTATACGATTATTAGAAATGGACGTATCTCCGATGTGATGATTTTAGCATGGTAAAAATTATGAAGATAGGATATTTGCGAATTGAGAGATGAGATAGGAAATTTTCCGATGAAATGTTTTTCCTTTCTCCTGAAAACTAGTCAATATGGAGTTAAGTGATTTGCGAATTAAGATGACGATAATATCTGATTTTTAGATGTTTTTAAATATAATTGAAGACCACATTTTAGAAATTTTAAGATTTTCGTATTGCATTAGAAGTGTCCTTGTGGCGATATAAACTTCCGTTTTTAAAATGCTTCCATTAAGAAGAACTTGAACGCTTAGACATTTTAGTTTTAAGTACAAAAGATATCCAAACCTATCTTGTACCGACGACCTAACCTAACCTAACCTGCTGTGCGGTTGTTGCCGAAGAAGGTGAAACCGGCAGTGTAGAACTCCCTCCCTTCCAGACGAAGACACCTGACAAGACGTAGGCAACGGGGGAGTGGTACGTGAAAGAGCATATTACGGTGCCCGGCGGTAAGTCACCCTATACGTTTTCCGGCCACCCGTAGAAAGACGAAATCGCAGTCGCCAGAGTCGCGCTCTCGCGTTGCAGACACGTGATACCATCAACACGACTCGGCTCGGACTCGGCTGCTTCGGTCATACCAGGAGTCGATGGACGACGATGATGGCGGTGGCTAGCTGTACCGGTGAGGGCAACGATACCGCCCCGATGGTACCACGACGATGCCAGAGTGCACAGAGGTGACTCGCAAAGGCGGCGGTACATTTCGAGATTTCGACAAATTTAGTCAAAATGTGAACTTAAATAGGTACTTATCAAAAAAATTGTGACTAAACGAATCTTTAATATTTATCAACTGCTATAATAACAACTTTTAAAGAACCTTGTTTCCATTTTCAAGCTTTTTAACCCAACGAATAAAATTGTATCTACATTTATAGAATAAAAAAGAGACACATTAGAGTTACACTAAAAAATAAAATCGAGTTTTTTCTAAAACCTTGCTTAAAAATCTCAGTTTTTCCTTAACTTTTTGTTTGTTTTTACTGACGATTTTGAAAACTTTTAGGAACTTTTGACCCCCCTCAAAGTACCAACTAGATTCACTTTCTTGCTAGAAAAGATGTTGTTGAAGAAGAGTTAAGCTTTATTTTTTACTGTCCCAAAAGGTGATGATAGACATACATATAAAAAAAAAAAACATTGTAAAATCAATACATTCATTGCTTCGCTCAAAATCTAAAATTCTGATGTTTTCATAAACAAAATAGTGTTTCTTTTTTTTTTTTGTATTAAGTATTAAGAGTGTATTTTTATTTTTATTTATTTCAACGGAATAATGGGTGCCACTGAACATGTTAGGGCCTATATTGTGGATGTGTATAGGTACAATATGGTACATGTTACGGTAAAAGTAAGAATACCGATGAAACCTATAGGTTGTAACGGTAAATGACTGCTGTACTTCACAGGTTCCTGTTGTGGGGATGGATATTATATTGTTATCAAACTCGATTTAGTCAATGACCATTATTTTGATTATAGGCGTGATTTAGAATATCAATAGATATATTAATTGTAAAATCAAATTTCAACCTTGGTAAAATAGTTGGAGTCCGTTCAATGTATTCGTCCTTGGAACGCAGTTTTTAAATCGTTGGATTGAGCTCCTCTACTTAATTTTTCCCAATTCGAGCACTTCATTACACGTATATAATTCTATAGTCTATACCTATGTCGTTCGCTCATTTTCTACATCGAAGATCCTAATTAGCAGCTGATATATTATAACAGTCAGAACTAGAAGGCTTCAATAATAGACTCTCCAACATTTTGGGAAAATAAAAACATTATATCATTGTTCTATGAACGTATTGTGTAATTAAGACATATAATACCAGAGTCCAGAACGTATTAAGATTTTAATTTGCATAAATAATGTTGATTAAAAAGTCTATATATACTCTATAATGCAGCAGGTCCTGCACGCCATATCAGCCTCGTGTGTGATCCTATAGTTAATCCTCCCTATACAACAAAGTATCAGCACCTCCCACACCTAAAGTTATATCCTTCCAACGGCATTGACTTGGTGTGATTATTTGTATAGTTGTAAAAATATCTTTATATTTTGTCTGTTTGTTCGTTATAATATAAAACGTTCGTCGTCTCGATTGGTTTCCACTTTGCAAATTGTGCTTAAGTCATCCGGCAGTTTTTGAAAGGGGCGTATAAACAACATAATAATATGTCAAACGGATAAGTAAAAGAGAGGTAGGTAGATCGATATAGATCGATATAGAGAGAGAGAGAAAAAGAGAAAGAATAAAGACCTCCCTTCGTTTTCAAACTCGAATCATAGTTGCTCTGTACCTATAAACTATATACAGATTATAACTGTTTTTAGGGCGTAATATACTACCCTTCGACCAGATCCAATTATTATATACGTGTCGACTGTCGAGTCACATTATGCGCGGCGGCGTCGGAGACGACATCACACTAGGCAGAGGCGTAGTATATAATATTATAGGCGGGCGGGCGGGCACTGGTGCTAAAAACACTTTATGAATACGTAATAAACCCGCGATCCGAGTCTGTTTAAATCTAATATTTCCGCGCGTCGTATAATAAATGTATAACGTATAATATACGCATGATGATAGATATATATAATATACGCGTTAAAAACATGAGCCGAAAAGCCGACGATATTTGTG